GCGCTTGTAGAAGCCCTCAGTAAGTTATCTGCTAACAATCCAAAGGCCTGGGTTGATGTGCTCCCAACAGCGCTCATGGTCTGTAGAACACAGGTTAATTGCAACATGAGCAAAAGCCCTTATGAGTTTGTCTATGGACAAAAGCCCACTCTTGTTAGATATATGTCTAAAAGGTGGTGCTATTTTTGTATAAAAAGGGTACAGCTTTAACTGTAACAGCAAAAAAAAGCCTATCCACCAACATCACTACAAATGTGATCCCCTTGGCTGCTGAGCAAGGCTAACCACCTATGAGTTTAAAAGATTTAAGGCCCTAACTGTAAGCCATGACTGTAGTGAGCTTTTTGGTCCTTTGTATCAACTAATCTGTTGGTTTCTTTGTCAGGTTATCCCACCACAAGGGGAAACCCTCCAATGAGGTGGCAAATGATATCTTTCTAAATCTCAATGACTCACAACTTACCTCTGTTGGTGATGCCTCCAAACTACAAAGATACCTCACTGATTAGATGTATGCTCTAAGCACTGAAGGAGTCAGTGCTACCTCCATTTATTAATTGATCTTGACAAAGGAGAATAAACTATCTTGTTGTGATAAGTGATTCCTTTTTCATGACAACGTCCCAAATGCAAAGGAGCATATTATATGCTTTGCAACCTCCCAGGATCTGCGCAAACTCTTGAAATGCAAGACCTGGCTTGTATATGGCACTTTCTCAACCTGCCCAAATCTCTTTAGCCAGATTTGAAACATCCATGGGCAGGTTGTAAATCTATTCCTTCTCCTGGTCTTCTAATTCCTTCCCAACAAGAAGCAGGACACATAAGTTCATGCTCCTACCATTTTCAAGAACAAGTTAGATGAGATCCTCCCAACCATTGAAGAGGAGCCCAAGGAGACCAGAGGGCGCAAGAAGAAGGCTCAATCCTAAGTAAAGATGCCTGCATCCCCAAAAAGTAGCCAGACAGCTTGCCCTACCATGCATATCTGATAGTTGACTTTGAATAGGCTCAGTAAGATGCCACTTCTACTTCTGGTAATCCCTCTGCTGCCTCTAAAAGTGTCAAAATTCAGAATCCTGACAACATTTTATATCAATTTACTTTATTTTATCATGTTCAAACTCAATTTTAAATAGGTTTTTATATTAACTTGATTTTATTGTGCAATTTCTGAGTGCTTTTGCAGTCCAATTACCTTTTGAACTATCTGTCTTCTTGCGCATAATTGCTTATCCTCAAAAAATCATATCTCTGCGGCTAGAGAACTAATCTTAACGTTTAAGGGCATTCCTGAAATCTGAGACCAAGAGAAATCTATTGGTGCCATTATTGAACCACCGTTACATGTTCCAATATACCTTCAAAATGCTATATCCCTCTTTTAGCATACTTGATCCCCTCATTCAAGAATTGATGAGTATAAATTACCTTTCCCTTTCTCTTAATCATTATCCACCATTCTCTTTATGGTGCTTCAATAAATCTTATGGTTCTTCACTCCTGTCCTTGTCTTATTAATTATCTTGTCTTGTCTCTTTCTGGATCTTCTTGGATGAATTATAAGATAATTGGAGTATTCAATGGTTTGAAGTTCTGGTGGCTCATAGAATCTTATTTCCATACTTCATTCCTGACAAAAAGTGCTCTGATCTCCATGAGTTGGTCAATTCTGAGGACATTAAAGAATTCAAGAATGTGTTCAATTGCTTTGATAACCCTTGCCCTAGTACAAAAGGAGGAAATCAATGCCTTTTACAGTGCCCTCTTTCACCATCCTTACATCATTGCCAACCAGACAGCATTTGCGCTCTTTATTGAGTACTTCAAAACTCAGTGCTTTAGTGACTTCCAATGAGCACAACATATTCAAAAAGGCAATGAATCAATCACCTGGAACTGCTTCAAGCAGTCAAACTTGGGTTGATCAAGACCACCTCTTCCCTTGAAGGGTGATATAGTCAATTTTTACCAGGGTCCAGGTTAAGAAGCCCAAGTTTAACAAAATCCCCATTCACTTAAAATCCAGCAGGCTATCTCTGCCCACCTCTTCAAGACTGGCATGAAGAGCAGGGATGACCCCCCAAGCAGACCAAGGCAGTGAAAAAGTATACAAAAATCATCAAGGTGGTTCTTGCATACTATTCCAAGGATAGAAAGCTTGAGCATCTTCAGGTCATCTATGTTGCTCTTTCTACTAATATATGAGCCTTTTCCAATAAACTGTTGTATTTCTTCTTCTTTTATCTTATTTCTTTCTATTATATCATTTTTGACTTTTCTTTAGTATTTGGTACAATTATACTGTAAATTCAGAACCTAAACGTAAAAATGCAGGATTTTCAAATCCTTGGTCCAAATATCAAATCATATTTGCAGGCAACTCAGCTGAGTGAAAATTAAAGTGTTTGATAAAATCAACCATTTAATTTGACTTTTTTGATTGATTTAAATTGCCAAATTTCAAATCCCTTGAACAGATAACTCAACTAACTAAAGACAAAAGACAACAAGCAAATGCGGGATGAATGATTCAGAAATATGTAATTATAATGTACAATTTGAGATTTCCTGTATGTCTAACAAATTGTAGACAACATGAAATCAGTAATGAATCTGAAATTGCAGTATTGCCTAATCCAAGAACCAAATTTCAAATCATAATTGAGGTGAACTTGAAATAAATTTAATTTATGAGCGTCTCAAACAGGAAGTCAAAGAATCTAGAGTGGATTTGTGATAATTCTTTTAGTAATCATAGACATTCTCAAAAATCATCTAATTCCATTTTAGGATAGCTAAAATTTAAATGTTTACTATTAACTGAATTAGAAATCACTATAATAAAGTAGAATTATATACAGTAGTTTTCAAACCTGTTGAGATAAATGTATATTATTCAGTTTAGAGCACATGAACTCAGTCTAAAAATAAAATCAAAGTAGATCCAAAACTATTGTAATTTAATATAAATTCCTTGATTTTTGATTTTGTTATTAGAATGAGTTCATGCGTTCTAAACTGAATAATATACATTTATCTCAACAGGTTTGAAAACTACTGTATTACAATCTATTTTTATCAAGTCCCTTTTTCCTTGTTGTGGTGATTTTTCATTTGTTGTAGATAATGTGCCTGCATTTAATTGGATAGTTTCACCTTCAGTTGCCTTGGTGATAGGAAATCAAGTTGCCTCCGCAATCACAGCTGGCCTCAGGGAGGCAACTTGATTTCCTATCACCAAGGCAACTGAAGGTGAAACTATCCAATTAAATGCAGGTGCATTATCAACAACAAATAAAAAAATCACCACAACAAGGAAAAAGGGACTTGATAAAAATGGATTGTAATATATAATTCTACCTTATTATTAGTGTTTCTAAAATCAACTGTAATCAAGCATCCTTAATAGCAATGCATAAACACATAGTGTAGTAAACTGATGGTTTATCTTTCTCACCTCTATTTCTTTCCTCAAAAAAAAGTTTGTTTGGATCTGGCTACACCAGGAGCCAAAAAACTTTTAAAAAATTTCTGTGTCATCAGAAGGGTGGCTTATATCCTTATATGAGTTTGTGGTTGCTATATTAGTTATTTGAAGTGCAGAATATTGTATAACTTCCATGTTTAGACAGTTTTATATACCACTTAATTTTCATGTTTACACATGGTTGTTGAGATGGAATTTCTCATTTGATTTTAGTTGTGGTGGAGCTTTTTTATTTGGGTTGATATTTTCTAGTGTGCTTACTGTACATTAAATTTGGATCACAGTTACTGCAATTAATATTTGAGTTTACTAGTGGCATTCAAAAGTGATTTGAAATTTGGTTCATGGATTTAACAATCCTTCAATACCAAAAAACATAGTAAACTTAATTAAAATGGTTGATGTATTTGAACACTTCAAATCTGATTCCAGTTAATTCATTTTGTTCATTGGAAATATGCTGTTTGACTTGAAATTTGCAAAGTGTCTATGAGTTCCTGCATTTTTAAATATTCAAATAAAAATACAAAGAATTCAATCAAATTAAAAAAGGCATCCTGCAAATGTGGTTTGAAATTAGGACCAAGGATTTGACAATCTCACATTTTTATGTTTAGGTTCTGAATTTATAGTAAACCAGGTTTATTTTTCACTCCTTATAATATTGGCCATGATTTTTGGTATACATTTCAATTTGATAACAGGATTTGGCAACAGGATTTCCAAAAAAATGACAACATTTCAAATAAATTTACCTTTAAACCCAGATTTAAAACGTCAGATATAATCACATTTTGTCAGAGTGTTGTCAGAAGTCCTATTTTTGGGATTGAAGTGGGTACCTAGATTTTACTTGATGAGCTTTATGCACTTGTTAAAAATGTCAGGTAAGCTTGGAAAATGATATCTGCAATGCACAAATGCCATCTCAAAGATATGCCAGTTTATCATAAATTATTGTTCCCTTTTCAAAATTCATACCCAGCCAGATTGATATTTAATTGATTGAAATTCATTTAAATTTGAAGAAGCTATTGCCCATAGATTTCTTTATTTACAAATTATTGTTATGATATAACTTCATACCATTATTTATATGCTGGCCAAGCACTCTTAATAAAAAATAAGCGATAAAATAAAACTTTTGGATTGCTAAATGTCAAGCCAGTTAGAAGGAATGTGCATTGATATGTAGCTAAATCATGATAGTTTAAACTCTTTTAACTGGATAAAAAGAACCATTAAAACAAAAACCCCAAAGTATCAAGTGCACTTTAAATTGATCTAAGCAAAAATATGAGGTAGCATAGTAGTCACTGTAAAAGCATCAAGATTAATACAAAAATTTAAAAAGGGCTCAACCGGGATTTGAACCCGGGACCTCCACCACCCGAAGGTGGAATCCTACGACTAGACCATTGAGCCTAAAGGGGCTGGTTTAGCGCACTTCTCATTTCAGTAAAAATTTGATGTTGGGTAGTTATAAATATGGTATCAAATATAATTAAGCTCAGCACAGCTTTTAGTTAACCCGACAAAAACAACTAAGAAATGTGCAAGCATATATTAAACGCCCAGGTGATTAAAGTTTTTATTTATACACCCAGCACAATTTTTAGGCCATAAATTTAAGTTTACTTTAAGGTACAAATCAGAAGCCCATGCTGTAAATCCTGGTTTGATTGCTCCGAATGCCACGAAGAAGTCTCCGATCATAAATTAGCCAAGCACTTTGAAATGATATTCGCTTGCAAAAAATGTAAAAAAGTTTTCAGAAAAGATACTACGTATGGATCTTATTTTTCTCTTATTGAATTTTAAACCTAGTGACTTTGATAAATCTGATGAGTTTTGCCCGCGTTGTGATAATCACTTTGTTTTGCCAGCAAGAACCCTGGATTCTGAATATACGCATTACGAACCTAAAATCGACCCACGAGTAGATACTAGGTATTCCTTTCTTTCTCTTTCTCCGCTAATTTCTAGTCATCTTTTTGATAAACGCATTAAGCAACCTTCACTCGAAGAGCAGCTGAAAGACTTTGATTTTTCAGAACTCCTCGATTAAAGTTCAAGTAATGATTCACACAAGCTTGTTTGTTACATATCACGCTCTATTATAGTCATTATTTTTGAGCGCAAAGAGAACGGGACAGAAACACTCAAGGTAATAATGCCGTCCTTTAATATTTATATCAAATGTTTAAGGAAAGACATATTTTTAATATACTTCTTCATATGACGAGTATTTAGTTCAGTCTAACAGAGTGATTTTCAACTATACATATTATAGCTACATATGTTTCTTCGAATTTATTCTGATGTGGATCCAAAGACCGAAGTTATTGTTTAGCTTGCTCAAATAGCTATTCCTATTCTAAAGTCGGTTCAATATTTACCTGCTTGAAATTTCATATTTTTCGATTCCTGACTCTCTTTACTTTTAAAACCTTAAGTGTTTTATAATTAACGAATATTTTGTTTAATACAAACTATTTACATAAGCATTCATCTGCTATCAAAAACATATTTTTATTTAAATAGCCTATTCTTTATGTTCCCTATTGAGACATTTTACCATTTAAGGTTTCAAGGATGTTAATTAAATGGAGTTTGTAGAGATACTGTGTTTTTAGTCCTCTCTAATGAGAAGGTTTACTATAAAGTTAGATACAATACAGCACTTTATATAGTACCAATCGATCTATTTTTTGCTAAAAAGATGCCGTATCCAACTGTTAATGTAACTTTTTACCAATAATGGTTAAAACATAACTCCAGGGTGAAAACGGGGGTTGAAAAGGTCCACCAAGCTAAATGGTGTACAAAGTAAATTTATGGCCATGGTATATATAAAATACGTGTATCTCTGAGCTATTTTATGTTTTTAAATAATCATTCCAAAGCGGATACTTTCTAATTTATACTTGCTTTTTATTTCATTATATATTTTTACATGTCTTTTTCTTTCCATAAAGTTGGCTATATCCAAAATACTTAGCAGACTTTTACTATTAATTGATGATATAGTGTTTGGTTTCTTCCAAAGGTAGCATGTTAGTAATCTAGTCAATAGCTAGCTTGCACGCCACTGGAAATAATGCAAGTTCTATACTTTAAAAGCGTTGAGGTTTTTATAACTTAATTTAAACATTATGGGGCCTCAGGTTGGTTTTTACATTTGGTGTTACTATCTACTGAACATTTTATCCTTCTGAAATCAATTCCACGATAGCTGAAACCATAGCTAATACCAAAAAGCTTTTTAGCAAATACATGTATCCCAAAGGCCAATGTGTTTAAACAGAATGTATGATTTATTCAAATTTAGGCAGTTAAATTTATTTAAGCAACTTTTATCCATCACTAAATAAATCCAACAGACTTCTTTTAAGTTATAAAGGAACAAACTATAAAATTTCAGCAGATTTACAAAATACTAATGTGCCAACTTTCAATCCGTTATCACCCTTCAGTCTAGAGACTTCTGTCCATGCCTTTACAGCATTTTTCCAGGGCAAATATTCCACATTGTCACTTTTACTTTAAATCTCACTTTAGTTGCTATCTTGCCCTCAAAGAAGGCTAAACAAGAGCGCACATCAAATTATTCACAACAAAAAGTATGATTGGCAGCAGACTTTATGCCATCAAAACTTCAATTAAAAGTTTAGCTAGCGTTGCTACCTGAAATAACATCCTAGTTGCCACCGTATCTCCCAATACACAGGTGGTGCTCAGCAAGTTGCTTCAGGATAAAGCTAACGTCATATCACCTCTTGATCCCCAAAACTCAGCAAAAATATCATATTCCCTTAAAAGGAGTGGATTAAATTACAATGCCAATCACAACAATGACCTCATTCAGATTATGTCTACACCTTATTTGGATCACTGCCACCAGTACCAACTACTTAGCAACTGAATGGCTCATTATCTTAATGTAAAAATCCTCATTATTCTTGTTAAAGATAATCTAGTTCCTAATCTATTTTCCTGTCCATTCTGGACTGTTGCTTTCCCAAACCAAATACTAAACTATAGCTAGTTCAGCTGCAACAATGACAGCAATTCCTACTCTCAACAGCAAGTTGATATTCTCTGTCTTAAATTATGAATTTAAGTTAATGTAAGCCTTAGTTTTTAATCTCAATTATTGTTTCTAATAGGTAGTCTTTAGCATTTTGAAAGTAAAGCAATTTCAGTTTCAAGAAGGGTTGGCTCAATTTTTATCTAATTTTCTCAGACTCTTTTGTTTTTCAGATTCAAAAAATTTGAAGTAAGCTATCATTTGAATTTCAAATTGTTTCAAGCTTAGCCACAATCAATCTTGCTTTTAGATCTAGTTTTTTACTACTAAACCAGGTGGCTTAATTTATTGTGACTACCTTTTATTGCAGTAGTCTCAAAGCTTTGGCACTAACCAAAAAAACTCATTTGCAAGCAAAATTCACTCAGATGCAAACACAATCAATTTATCACATAACAAAATAGAAGTGAACCCAAAACTATTGTTAATAAATATGAACTCAAAATTTTAAATTTGTTTGTATCTGAGTTGATTTTGCTTACAATGAGTTGATTTTGTTTACAGATGAGCAGATTTTGCTTGCAGATGAGTTTTTTTTGCTTAGCGCCATAGCTTTGAAAACCACTATAACATTAAATTTAAAGATAAAAAATGAAAAAATAATTCAGCAAAGAAAGAAAACATAAAAAGTTATTTTAAAATAAATATTAAAAATTCATTGCCAACAAGCCAATTTACAAAAAAGAACTCATAATAATTTATGAAGATCTACAAAAAGAATTGAGTGAATGGTCAACTAAAATAAAATACTCATTATTAAAAACAAAAAAGATATTTATGAAGATATGAAACTGAGAAACAGTATTTTTATTTCACTTTTCACTTACTATAAGCTTATCCCCAATAATGTAATTAAAAGCAAAAAACAAACTTATATGCATAACATTTGCAACTTAAAAAATCATTAGAAATGAAGAAAAGTGTTTGAATATAAAGAAGTTACTATTACCGGAATCTATCAAAGAAAATTTGAAATCAATTGAACTAAATGAAAAGTTTTGTAAACATCAAAATAAAGAATATATTAGGGATATCAATACTCTTGATAGTGATTCATGTGTTATAGTAATGAATTATAAGAAACTGTCAAGGATCTGGATAAACAAGCATTCTGGCTACTGCCAACCTACTTAACATCCAGTCATTACCTGATTTGGTGCCCTCCTAATATACAGTTTGACATACCAGAAATGGCAACCAAGCAATATCAAATGACTGTCCAAGTATCCAGTGACTCAAACCCATCCCACACATGACCAACCCCTAGGTTTGATCCAACTAAATCTCTGCCACAGCTAAAGCTATATAAGTCTAAAGTATTATCCAATAAAATATACTTCTCTTCTTTCTTAATCCCATATTTGAAGCTTCCCCAAAAGGCACTCCTTATCACTGGTAGCAGCTACAGTTTTTCAACCACGCCCATGAGAGAGAAAATGACTGACCAAAACCTGCCTACCTTCACTCACGTACTCAACCAGGCCACATTCCAGGAGACCTGGAAAACGTACTTCTGTGCTCACAACATCAACAAAGATATATCTAGTGGATGCACCATATTCAAAGGTCTGGTCATGCCCAAAGCATGCACTAAAATTATTCAATACAGTTGCTCTCTTCAACCACAAACAAACACACAACCACCTATCACAGATGAAGTGACCAACACCAAGTACATTGGTATCAACAAGTTCTTTGGTAAAAGCAAAGAAGACGTCATCAACTGGCTAGACCAAACAGCCGCCAAACTCCGCGCCAGCCACATCCCCCATGAGAAATGGGTCCAGGAAGCCAGCAAGTGCCTGTACAAGGCTGCAGCTAACTGGTTTGCCACCTGGGTTAGCTCACAAACTGGTGATCAGCTTGAAAACTGGAAAGAGTTCAAAGCAACATCACACACAATTTCTGCGTCACCAAATCCCTCTAAGACATTGCAATAGAGCTCAGTGATCTTTCTCAGAAGACCACTATCAAAGCTTACACCAATGAATTTGAGGAAATAAATCACAAAATCCAAAACCCAGCACAAGCTGATAATGTACATACCAGAGCCTCATTCATCAACAGAATGAAATCCTCTGTTGCTGCCCTCATCCACCCAGACGCTAACACCCCCATGCCCACGCTCATTACAGAAGCCAAGCGCGCGGAAAAACGCGCAAACATGGAATATGCTGCACACAACGGCAACTGCTTTGCAAACGACAATGGCAGAGAAAACTTCAATGGCAACAAACGCCAAAACATTAATCATAGCAACAGCAACTCCAATTACAACAATGGCAATTTCAGCCAAATTGCAAACTGCTCCTGCCCCAAGAAAGAGGACACTGCC